CTTGATTCGATGCATATGTGGAGAGAAGCCAAAGATGTGGGATCAAGCTATACCTCAACCTGAATTCACCTACCACTTGACTGTTCATAGTTCCACATGTATGTCTTCTTTTTCCATTGTTTACAGGAAGACACCTCGATATCTCCAAGATTTGTTGAAGTTGCCAACAAGTAGCAAGTTCAGCAAGGCAGCAAGTTCAATGGCAAAGAATGCTTTTAACATTCAAGAGAAAGTGCGTACAAAGATCGAGAAGGCTAATGCAAAGTTCAAGGCATGAACAGACAAAGAAGAGGCGACTTAAGGTGTTCAATGAAGGAGACACGGTGATGATTTACTTGTAGAAAGAACGAATGTCGGCTGGAACTTATAGCAAGCTTAAGCCGAAACGATATGACCTGTTCAAGATTCTCAAGAAGATCAATGATAATGCATATGTAGTGGATCTTCCAGAAGGAATGGCTATGTCGGCGACATTTAACGTGGTAGATATTTCTGATTATCATCCTTCAATCAAGTTGTATTCGAGTGATGCAAACTCAGAGACGAGTCCTTCCGAAGAAGGAGGGACTGATACAGGAGATCAAGTGTTGGACGAGACGAGAAAAAAGCAGCTGAAACGACATCAGCGGACGACGACTCGACATCTCAACTCGAGTCAAGGTGACAAGACGAGACGACACATCCCAGTCGACAGTTGAGATGACAGGACAAGACGAAACACCCCAGTCGACACGAATGACAGTGTTAGTCGACACATGCCAGTCGACACGAAAGGCGTTACTACTCGGCACGCCTCGTGTCGATTCGGAAACAGATTAGGAAAGTTTCATAATTTTGGTTATTTCCTTTTAAATTCAGACTTTCTTTTTTATTAGGGTTAGGATATGGTTAGTTGGCTATAAATATTAGTTTCTTTTGTAAGTCGAGAATTAACTTTTGTTTCAATTATTCAATCAAGAGAAATTTTTCCATTGTTTTCTTCCCTAAACTTGGGAAAATTAGGGCTTGTGGATTCAAGCTTGTTATCTACATGTTATTGTCAAGGCTCATCGGCATCAGAACGATATCCGATCGGCCTCTCCATTTCTACATCTGCATAGTCTCCGGCCCTGTCTATTGCGTTTCCAAAATAAAGCTTATAATCCTCACAATCCAAATATTTTGTGAATAGTTTTTTATTAAATAATAAAGCCACCGGGAACTGTATTGGAACCTTCCAACCATCTAAGTTACATACGGTGCTCAATAGTTTGTGAGTAGTTAAGTGATGAGTTTTTATGTATTTGAAGTGCGCGTATAGATGTGTATGGATATTCTAGATGAATAATAGAATAAGATTAGTGGCATGGCTACTATTGCCACAAGAGTCCCCTATCCTCAGCAATCAGCGGCCTATTCAACTTGCCTATATATTGTTCAACTTGATGACAGAAATTAACGGGGTACTATTTCGTTGAAACATACAAATATAGAGTTATCAAGTATTAATTATTTCACAATGACTTTAAAAATTCGACCTTTTATAATATTTGGTGTGTGCTTCTTCCACTTCATAGCACTCAATCTCTCGCAATTGAGAACATGCTCCCAGTAGTGTACCAGAGCACAAGTACTCCACATTTCTACCGCTTGTCCTTAAGTTCTATCTTATTATTCATTCATTCAATCATCGTCCTGTTGGCATAAGTCCAGTGCACAATTCTTGATCGTATTCACAAAGATCTTCGTTCTTTTCCTTATGCCCTGAAGACTATGCTTTCTTTTTCTCTTTTTTTTCTCTTTTTTTTTCGAGGTATGACTAGTAGATTTATTCATAACCAATAGCAGGAATAACTGCATACTCAAACCTCAACACTTAACATTTTGTTAAGTAAACCTGTACCTAAGCTCAAACCTCAAAGACAACTATATATACTAGCAAAAATAAAACCTGTAAAGATAGAATATGGATGTACAATACATATATGAATTAAACAATTTCAGTTAGATGCTATAATTAAAAACCACACAAAATTTAGTATCACTGAGTATGATTGATTATTTTTTGAAGCATTTTCACTTCTGTCCACTTTGTTTTTGTGTGTAATATTAATGTTGTACATGCATGCACTATTTGAGTGTAGTTATTTTCTACACTTTTATACTTTTTCCCTGTCTCCAAATTATTTGAAAAGTTCTGAAGTCTGAGAAAGTAATCAACAATGTACCATCTTTACAGAATTTCAATGTTTTATCTTGGAATAAAGTGTAAGTTGGTCATAAAAGTTTCATTCAAACTTATGACGGTGATTAAAGTGGTTTTGATGATCACCATGACAATAACGATTTACAGTTATAAACTGTACTAATTCTTGTATTATGTCTGAAACTATATCCACACTCTTTGTCCTACTATAGCTGTTTCTTCATATATCATTTCCTTTTTGACTAATCGATTGTTATATTTTACATTTCTTTTGTCGATTTCGCTTGGATTACACGCAATATTCTATATATCAAAGATACCGTGATTCACTCAGTTTCCAACAGCCTAGCTTTCGCTTTATGTTGATGGAGTCAGCGAACACCAACACCTTAGCGGCATTTTTCTCTCTCGAGTAGTTATCAAGAATCAATTTTTTCTTAGCCAAATATTTGTTGCGCCGAAGACTGTTACAGGTCTTGGTTTTAAGTACCACTTTCAGTCAAATTCAGATCATGACTGATTTAGTCACCTTTGCTTTTCAAATTCCACTAGTGAAAGAACTTGCATCTAAAGATATAGACTAGCTGTTATATCAGTGTGTAGGTAGACCTTTAATTTCATGGGTAGATCCCTCGAAAATTCACGTTTAAAATGTTAAGTGGTAAAAAGATATGTTTAAAACTAATAACAACAGGCAAATTGTACATCTTTATTAAATCTATAACTGATTTGAAGAATTCTGAATGATATAATAACGCTACCTCTCAAACTGATGTCTTTTTCTTTAAGTTCCCAAACGACTGTATGGGAAGGGAGAAAGAAATTTTATCTGGTTTTCTAAGCACAATATGAAGGTGATAGATTTCCATCATGGTTAGTACATCATGCATTTTGAAGCATGTATCCTTTTCATTTGAGATACTCAGTTCCTTTTCTTGTACCTAATACAAACAATTTAACTTAATTTGTGATTTCCCCCAAAGGGGAAGCTTCCTTTTTGTATCTTTCTTAACCTCTACTCCCTCTTTAAGGTGTACTGTTGCCCTTCCATCGCACTATAGCAACACATAATGCACACATTTCTTCTTAATTTTATCCACCAAAACTATGTAGTTGTAACACTTTTCAGAACCATAGATCAAAGATCTGATATCATGTAATAATTTTATGATTATTATTTTGCTTTTTTATATGATGGAAATTTTCTTTTTCGATGAAATTATTGAAATAAAAAGACAGATATTAATATATACACACATATAGATGATAGAATGCATGTTGTTAGGTAAAAGGTAGGTATGTTGTTGGAATGACCTGAGAGCTTGTTGGCTTTTGTTGGTTAAGATGGACTCCTCGTACTATTCATATATAGGTTTAGAAGTTTAGGTTAGCTTTAATACCCAGAAACCCCTAAGTCTAACCTCATTTGTTGAGTTTTTCTTTCAAACTTGTTCCATATGTTACAAGGGAAAAATAAACTTATGGGGCAATTTTTTGCTAATTTAACATGACATTTCCTTAAAAGATAAAACTCATCTGAGGGTTTCTCGTGATCTTTATTTTCTCTTTGATGTAGAAATATCAGAACAGAAAGCAAAAGAGTAAATCTCAATGAGGGAGCTGATTAGTTTTTTGGGGTATGAGCTTTGCTACAGGGACCCAAAATATGGGATTAATAGGGGGGACAGGTGAGGTGTCTCCCTCCTATTGCATAATTTGTTGGCCATCATTAATGATGGCCAACTCATTATGCATGATGATCAATTCATTATGCAATAGGAGGAGGACACCTCACCTTTCCCTCTTGTTGGTCTTATATTTTGAGTCATTGGGAAAATTTTCAAATAAAAAAGGAGCCATCTAGCATTAATTGTCTGCCTGTAATGAAGGATCCTTTGTTTGGAGCTGCAATATATATTAGTTTATGTACTCAATTAATGTGTTTTATGGCAAGAATTGATGCTCTTAGTGGTGAAAGGATTCCTTGAACGAATTGATATTTCTTCCAGTAGTGAGAAGTCATACATACTCTTAACAAACTTCTCATTGGGTGATCGATGCTCCAACTGTGTGTGTGTACATAATAGAGAGAGAGACCTATATATACATCCATATGCATTTGAAAAGCACTATGATTAGCCAACAGCGCTCATTAATTATATATATTAATGAAAAGTCAAAACAAATGGTGATAAATGGAAAGATGAATCATTATTGCGGTTGTTATCTTATATTCTTGATTACTTTAATCAATGAATGTTGCACAATCAACAAAGACCTCTGAGAAAGAAACCACTAACTGTTTTCCAAGTGTAGAAAAAAATGTTACTGCGAAAAGTAGAGAAGAATGAAGAAACCCTATATATAACTATATTTATCATGATATTTTCAAATCTTGTGTGCTCTTCCAACCTTTTAAACACATTACGTAGAAGTTAACTATTTAATTTTGTGTGTACGTGTTTTTTTATTTCACACTTTGCAGGACGAGGTGTTAGGCCAACGGTTAAACTACACTTCATTCAAATAACACTCTTACCGGAAAGCAAAGGAGTAACATGCAAAGCAACCTATTTTTTCCCCCTTGTTGGCAACAAACTATGTATGGACATTGGAAAGGACTCTTCTTAATAATTACATATATGTATATGCTATGTATATTGTATCCATAAATGAAAGGGACTGTCTTTTTTTTTTGGTCAATGAACAGTAACTTTTATTCATCTTCCAAATGTGAAAATACAGCATATCAAGATCTCAGTTGAACTGAGAATTACAAAACATTCCATAACACCTACATCTCATTTACTCAAACCTATAAAGCACATATCCATTCTCTATTTTCAACAGCAAAAGGACCATTAAGTATAATAGCAAAAATGTTGAATTTAATCTCTTTGAACAGTTGATCAGCTGACTTCAATTCATGCCGAAAAACCCTGGTATTCCTCTCATTCCATATGCTATAAATTGTTGAGGTAAGAGCCAATTTCTTTAGTTTTTGCTTAAAGCCCCTCCCCCTCAACTTGGAACAAAACCAGTTCAAAACTTGATCCCACTTGCACGATCGCCACCTGAACTGCAGCCAGTTCATAACCTTTACCCAAACATCACTAGAGTAGCAACATTCGAAAAAAAGATGATCTCTGCTCTCAGAACCAGAGCAAAACCTGCAGCAATTTATATTAATAATACCCCTCCTAATCAATCTGTCTTGAGTGAGCAAACGGTTCTGAATTGCTAGCCAACTGATAAATGAGTGCCTGGGGTAATTAGAGGACTCCCAAACTGTGCCAAACCAGGGCACCAAGGTAGATACAGGGGAGATAGCATCATATAGATCAGACAGTTGTATTTTTGAATTCCTGCAACAAGACTGAATGATCAATTTCAGATTTTCAACACTTCCAAAATGTCCCTGGGCCTTATCCCTGACCTTCAAGATCTGTCTCCACATCCACGAATCACTATTTTTTGCTTGAACATGCCAGACATCACAGTTTTTTAAATATGTACCATGTATCCACTTGATCCATAGGCTTTCTTTGCTTACATGTATATTCCAGAGTAACCTCAGTGTTGTAGCCATACTCCATCTAGATGCAGAATAGATGCCTAAACCTCCAGATTTCTTATTCAAACAAATTTGATCCCATGAAATAAGAGGAATTTTGTGAGCTTGTTCAGAATTGCCCCAAAGAAAATTCCTGCATAGTTCATCAATTTTCTGAAGCACTTTCACTGGCAGAACATAATTAGAAATCCAGTAATTTTGAATACCAAGGATAACACTTTTGAAAGAGACTGTCTGATCACCTTTGTTCCCTTAATTATTATCCTATCTTAATCATCCATATTATCCTATCTTAATCATCCATCCCCTGAACCCCACGAAGACAAAGAAAGAAAGACAAGAACTTACACTCATGATTGATATTAGGAGATAAACTTAGAATTTTTTATTGGAAGAGGATTGGTAATAACTTAAAGCTTCACTTTCAGTACATATATGTTAAATCTAACATATGTGGTACCAAACCCCTTGCTAGTAATTACATCTCTATTTATATCTATACTACATATAAAAGAGGACTGGGGTGTTAAAACTTTTGATTGCCTCTTTTACCCTTCTAAAATTTGATAATTCTGCTGTCTGGAATGTTAGAGAATTTAACAAGTTCTCTAAACATTTGATAGTTAAGAGATTCATCCAAGAATATAAACTTTCTTTTATAGCTCTATTGGAAACTAAAGTGAAAGGGGATAAGATGCAAATTATAGCCAAGAAAGTTGCAAATGGCTGGAAATGGATTTCTAATATTCAACAAGCAAATAATGGTAGAATTTGGATTTTTTGGGATGATGAATTGCTGAATATTCAGTGTGTGGATTCTACAGAACAATATATCACTTGCTCAATAGAATCAAAGGATGGGTTGTTTTGCAGTCTAGTTACTATTGTCTATGCCCTCAATCAAATGGAGGGTAGGAGATATCTCTGGCAGAATCTTCTGGCATTCAAGCAAAGGACCAGCTGCCCCTGGTTAGTAAGTGGGGATTTTAATGCAATCATCAGCAGTGAAGAGAGACTTGGGGGTGCTCAGGTCATAGAGACAGATATTGAAGACTTTCAAAACTTCATCAGTTCAAGCCAGCTGTTGCATATAAAGTCCACTAGCTGTTTTTTCACATGGTGCAATAAACAAGAGGATAGTGCAAGAATCTGGAGTAGATTGGATAGAATACTGGTTAATGAAGAATGGATTCAACAATATACAACAAGTCAAGCTGAGTTTTTGATGCCAGAATGCTCAGATCATTCCCCAACATTAATAACTATTGGCGAAGATACTTTTGAGGGTAAAAGACAAAATTATAAATATGTGGGCTAATCATCCTCAATTTCTCTCTACTGTCAAGACTATTTGGGATCAAAGCTTTATTGGGTATAACATGTTCAGACTCCATTCAAAGTTAAAGAAGCTTAAGCCTGAACTAAAGGAGCTCAACAAGAAGCATTTTATGAATATAAGTGAACAAGTTCTCAGAGCTAGAGAAGAGCTGTTAGCCACTCAAAACCAATTGAGTCTTGACCTCTTCAACTCATACTTGATTGTAAAAGAGAAAGATTGTGTTAAAAAAAATACACAAAACTGTTTGACTGTGAGATTTCATTCTACAGGTAGAAAGCTAACATCAAATGGGGACTGCATAGAGACAAAAATTCTCAGTACTTTCATTCTGTTACGAAGGCTAAAAGGCATAATAACAGGGTGTTATCTCTATGTTCTGAAAATGGTGTCAGAATTTCTGATATGCCTGGGATTATATCTGAATTCACAGGGTATTATGAAAAGCTCCTGGGTACTGCAGTTATTACTCAAGGACTTGATCCTGATGTGATTTCCAAAGGGCCTACTCTCTCTTCTATTCAAAGGAATGCTCTGAGTCTCCCAATTACCAGACAGGAAATTAAGCAAGCTTTGTTCTCTATATCTGAAGATAAAGCTCTTGGCCCCGATGGATATAATTCCACATTCTTCAAAATAGCTTGGGAAGTTATCAATGAAGATCTATATCTGGCTGTGGAAGAATTCTTCAAGTCTAGTAAATTACTAGGTACGTTCAATTCTACAACTATCACCCTGGTGCCTAAAATCCATAATCCATGCACAACTTCTGATTTTAGACCGATATCTTGTTGCAATATGGTATATAAGATCATATCAAAAATTATTGCCAATAGAATTCAGAAAGTAATGGGGAGTTTGATCAATGAGGCTCAAAATGCTTTTGTCAATGGGAGGCTTATCTCAAGCAACATCCTATTAGCTCATGAACTCATCAAGCACTATGGTAGAAGACATACCTCCCCTAGAGCCATACTGAACATTGATTTAAGGAAAGCATTTGATACAATCAGCTGGGGGTTTCTCAAGTCCATGGTTCAAGGTCTGGGTTTCCCAAATAAAATGATAAAATGGATTATGAAATGCATCACTGCTCCAAAATACTCACTGTCTCTCAATGGATCCTTACATGGATATTTCAAAGGAGCAAGAGGTCTAAGACAAGGTGACCCCCTATCACCCTACTTATTTGTGATTGGTATGGAATATTTGTTAAGGAAATTAAGTGTTCTTAAAGATGACAGATTATTTAAGTTCCATCCTAAATGCTCAAGACTGGGTATTACACATCTAATCTTTGCGGATGACTTTCTTCTCTTTTACAAAGCTAACTTGTATTCAGTAGCTAAATTACACCAGTGCCTTCAAGATTTTAGTAAAATTTTAGGTTTGGAGGCAAATCCAAATAAGTGCTGTGTTATTTTGAATGGCATTGATGAGAGGTTAAAGGATCAGATAAGCTCATATTTGTAGTTTTCAGAGGGATCCTTGCCTATGAGATACTTGGGTATGCCTTTAATTTCAAAAAGGCTATCTTCGATGGATTAATTGTTCTCCCTTGATTAGTAAAGTATCTGGTCAATTTTAGAGCTGGCAATAAAATATGAAGCTTTCATATGCTGGGAGGCTCCAAATGATGAAATCTGTAATCATGGGAATACAAATTAATGTACTGGACTAGCAACTACATTCTTCCGGTGAGAGTGTTAGAAAAAATAGATAGTTTGTGCTCTTCTTTTCTATGGGCACCAAACATTCACTTATTATCATGGGATGTTATTTGCCAGGAGAAGAAGAAAGGAGGCTTGGGATTATACTCAGCAAAACTTTGGAACTATGCAACGACAGTCAAACTCTTATGGATGATTCACCTCAAGCAAGATTTGCTTTGGATAAAATGGATACATGGCAAATACTTACAAGATTCAACAATATGACAAGTTCAATCAAAAGTGAATGACTCTTGGATGTGGAAGCAACTCATTAAGTTGAGGGACATGATGATCAATAAATTTGGTGATGCTGGAAATTTTCAACAAGTTGTTTTAGGTTGCTGCAAAGGTGGTAAGCTCCAGGTATCTGCTATATACAGAGCTATAAATCAAGATGTCCCCTCTGTGGCCTGGGTTGATACAGTTTGGAGGGGTCTACAATATCCTAAACATTCATTCATACTTTGGCTAGCAAATCATTCTAGACTTTTAACACAGGATAGATTATGTCGATTGGGTTTGTTGAGCACAAACCAATGTGTTCTGTGTTCTAACATTCATGTTGAGACATGTGCACACCTCTTCTTTGAATGTCAGTTTTTAGCAAATGTCTGGAATAAGGTTATGAATTGGATAGATTTCTCCTGGAGATCATGTGATTAGAATTAACTTATTAGATGGTACAACCATAGACTCAAAGGTAAGGGTTTTATGCAGAAGCTAAAAAGAATGGTCTTCTTAGCAGCAATGTACATGGTTTGGCAAGAGAGAAACACAAGAATTTTTCAGTGCAAAGCTCGTGAGCCTGAAAAACTTTTCCATGCAATCAAAATGTCCATCTATTCTAAAATTTTGAATGAAAATATTCTTCTTCAAATGAAGGAGAAGCTGGAAAGAATGTAATTTTTTTCTTCTTGTCTACTACCAGACTTTTTTGGCGTTCATGATGTAGCAAACATGTTCATATTTGGTTAGTGAATAAAAATTCATTTTCATTGACCCAAAAAAATTGATAATTCACAATAATGTCTTAAAATTTATTCAATCCATTATATTTATTATACTATAATTATTCTTAAAATAGACATGAGAACTAATACTAAGAACTAAATAATATTATAAAATTTAATCATAAATTTAATTCAATTCATTCTATTTATTACACTATATTTATTCATGCACTAAATATTAGAACTAATATATTATAATTTTTATCAATATTAGTGTTATGTTAAATAAGATAAATATTTCACTTTAGATATTAGATATTACACAATAAATATACAATTTTAATATGTAATACAATAATATTATAACTTATATTTATAAATTATATCATAATTATATAATTAAATATTTAATTAAACATTTAACATTTAATCCAATACTATAATATTGACATGTGCATATGATGTGTAAAAAAATCCATGGTGAGGGATACTAATATAATTGTTAACATCTTTTTGTAGTCTAGAAATAGTATATAAATTATCATAACATATAGTACTAACCATTACAATATACTTATCATAATATTAGGATACGAGGTAATTCTAAGTATGTGGAATTCCAAGCGGTGTGGAATGCTATTACATTTGCTCTTGAAATTGGATGTGGAAAGATAATTTTTAAAGGAGATACGAATGTGCTAATTAGAGATATCCATAATGGGGTGGAGAACACTTGATTTTTAAACACTTCGTGGATGATATTCAATGATGTTGTACATGATTCGAGGAATGAGATTTTTAGATAGTTTGTCAAATAGAGAATATAATGGCTCATGTGTTGATCCGAAGTGCTAAGGAAATTAATGATTTTGTGGTATTGCTCTAAAACTCATCATCATTTTCACATAATGTTTTACAGTCTGATAATGAGCAGCGTTAATCCTCATTCTTCTTTTGGTCAATGAAATAAATTTTATTCATGACCAAATTCAGAAGTTTGAGTACATCAAAACATTCTAGAGAA